AAAAAGGCGCGGTTTATAGTCCGAAAATTACGGTAATAGAAGCCGTTCTCTTGCTTTGATAACAAATAAACCCACGATGTATCAGTGTGTCTGTGCATGCAATACTCAATTTACAATATGAACCGAGCAAATATAGCTTCCACTGAATCATCATATGTCCTTAAAATAGCACACAGGAAACCATGTCTGAAGAAAGAAGAGAGATGAAAAGCAAAAGTAGGTCTGTGCTATTATTAATACGGTGATTTCAAATAAATGGTGAGATATAATTGAAAGCACATATTAACAAACTCCTGAGACAACCAAGAGTCAATTATGAGCTCACACAGGAGTATATAAAATAGGCTTTGTGATATACAGAGATATTGAATGACCTATATTGAGATTTTTAGCAACGTCGCCCAGCCACACACACTTTACTTCTTGGGGGAAAGATATGAGCTTTCAAGGGCAAGGAACAAGGACTTCAAACTGTGGCACCTTTGGAGAACTTCCCTCTGAGATATGGCGGATAAGCGTCGGCTGAAAGGAGAGATTAGGAGCTCGCAGGAGAATCTGCTTCCCCCCCATTCTGATTCGGACATCCATTTTAATGGGAGACTTATTCAGGAAACGGTAGCCATTGTGGGCATCAAAAATGCATTACCTATGCTCCTCTGTTTGCTCAGCTGTCTCACCGGTGGCTTGGCTTATTGTCAGCGAACTAATTCACTGACATCACAGCAGCTTGTAGGCTACAGAGAAACAGGGCTGTAAAGTAACGAGCTACATCCCAGAGCATGCTTGAAAAGTGACTGCAGGACAGCGCGTTAGTGAAGCAGACTAGTGTTGTGAATATGAGCGGTCCCATGCTGAAGCTAAGAGCACCTGGGTTATTTTAAGGAGATCAGGCGTACATGTCAAATACTGAATGTAGACATGGAGCAAAGATGTAGACGTTGGGAAAATACTGAATGTACTCTTCCAACATCAGAGTCCACATGATAGCAAAGGTATCCCAACTGTAGCTGTGAACACGACAGGATGTGTGATTACCTCGAAGAGCATCAGGACTGTTTGAGGCATTTGATAGCTATGTGATTAACATGATGATTCAGCCTCTATGGAGAGAGACATATGACAAGCATGATCATTTCTGACGTGGAGCTAATCTGAAGTAAACATTGAATACTGCTTTCTATTCCTCCATCTTGTGACTGTGGAACTCCCTCTCTTGGATATCAGCATGTGAAGGACACTGTTCAGGAACTAGTTGTACCAAATGCTCTGTATGTGAGGACTACTTACATTCTTGCAAGGATAATAAATACATGTATCCGTATATTGAACCTCAAACCAGTGACGAGTGATATTTTTCGAACACATTACATATACTTACATCGCTGTTTAAGGCGTAGGCCTTCCTAGCACGGACCACATCCGTGGAGTCGGGCATGCAGGTCCAGTTGTGCAGGCGGGTGGAGTAGTTGGTTTGGTTGACCTGGCTCTGGCATTTCTTGGCCAGCGCGATACTCAGCATGTCCACTGGCAGGTTGAACTTCGTCTTGGACTTGTTGTAGTCCTTCTTGTACCGAGCGTCACTGAAGATCTTGGCTGCATTAGCGGCCATCATGATCAGCTGGTCGTCTTTGACGCTGAGTGCACCGATTTGATTGCCACACTGCTTGCGGAAACCGGCCTTGTATTTGTACTAAAAACATGGGATGGAAATATTTAGATTATTCTCATAAAAGGAATCATTGCAGTGAATAAAATAAAGGATAATGCTGCTGAAGAATTTAGATTGTGAAGCATAATACTTCACAAATAAAGACGGACTTACATCACTGATGATATTTCGGGAGGCCTTAGCTGCCAAAACAGAAATGGCATCTTTGGGAAGGTAGTAGCCTTTGTTGATGGTTTCCATATAGCCTTCACGGTATTGTTTCTGGGAACCAAAAGAAGGAATAGGCAGTTAGTATGTCTGCTATACATTTAGTTTAAATCCCATTATCAGTACCAATGGAGACTATTTCCTTGTACCAGTGATTAAAACATCAACACTAAAATGTCCTTCATTCTTCAAACATTAGGAAAATATCTGAAAATTATTCTTTTAGCAAGTTAACAATTATTGATATGATCATATGTGATGCACTTATTGGTTTAAGAACTACATTGAGAGGCACTACATTACCAGACTGGTGTTGATATTATTCTGCTTGGCCAGGATGATCTCTGGGATGTCAGTACCCATGTGAAGTTTGACCTTATCCGTATCCCAGGCGGAAGTGTACGCTTTCTGTAAACAGCAGATTGACACAGTTTTATGGGATTCATCGAGTCGATCAAAGGGAAGTAAGTCAACACTTTCCCACATATTCTGTATAATACTTCAAATCAAAAGAAACTAAGATAAAAATGCAAAATAACAATAAAGTACAATGTTATAGGATCTCTACCTTGTCCATGATATGGGCATTTGCCGTAGCAAGGGCATATGGGATGTCACTTGTCTTGGCTGTGAACTTGAATTTGCTGGGATGCTCACGGTACTTCCTTTCATTCAGGATATTTCCTGCTTTCTTGGCCTTCTCCACATCAACTGAACCTATTGGCACCCAACCGGTTCCCCTCATCCATTCCATGTCGGCCTTATAAACAGCCTACAAGTCATATCGGGAGGATAAAAAGTGGAGACACATTGAATACAAATAAATAAGCAAAATAAAGTTGAGCAAACACATTCTGATAAACTCTCGTTACTCACATCGCTCTGCAGGTCGTAAGCCTTTCTGGCCTGGCGCACGTCAGTGGAGTCTGGCAGGCAGGTCCAGTTGTGCAGGTGAGTGCTGTAGTTGAAGTCGTTGACCTGGATCTGGCATTTCTTGGCCAGTTCAATATTCAGCATGTCCACGGGCAGGTTGAACTTGGTCTTGGACTTGTTGAAGTCCTTCTTGTACAGGGCGTCACTGGCAATCCTGGCTGAGTTCAGAGCCAGCATGATCAGAGGGTCTTCCTGGACGCAGCGAGCACCGATGTGGTGGCCCACCTGCTTACGGTATCCTGCCTTATATTTGTACTAAAAGAGAAGCGATAGAAGATGAAGCAAGAAATGTATTTCATGTATGATTTTACTGTATTTAAGCCTTACTTACATCACTGACGATATCCCTGGAAGCTCTGGCCTTCAGCACAGAGATAGTATCCTCCTTGATCTGGTAGCCTTTGGCCTTCTGCTCATCCCAACTCTTCGTGTACAGTTTCTGCACAGAACAAGAACATATGATCAAAAAAACTGCAAAACAGTTGAAGCAAACCAAAAAGTAAGTACTTTATAAAACTACATTTCAACCTGTGCATTTTAAAGACATTTATGTAAAGTTTCAATACTTCTAACATGGGTTGAACTTGGCTTGTTTTAAAGCAAACTTACATTGCTGATGCTGACAGCATTGGCCTTGGACAGAATAAAGCCGGGGGCGTCGGGCGGCATGTGGAAGTTGAGCTTGTCATTATCCCAGACTTCCCTATATTTCCTCTGTCAGAAATAAATAAAAAGGATTAAAAACATATTTAACATTTACTAGGAAAGGCATTTTGCATTACTGAATATGTAATAACTCACATCACTGATGTTGATAGCGTTTTGCTTGGACAGGACCATAGATGGCAGATCGACCACGCTGGTGAACTTCTCGTTGCTTGGGGGCTGGCGGTAGAGCCTCTCATTGAAGATGTTCATGGCGTGCTTAGCTTTGACGACGTCCACTGAGTCCTGTGGGGACCAGCCGCATCCTCTCAGCCACTCCATATCAGATTTGTACACGGCCTGAAAAAAGAAAGACAAATAATACAGATGTGTTTTTGTTCTTGTAGGTTTTTCAACTTTGATGCTCCAACACATGGACGAAGTGATTTCCCTCTCCACAAACCGAGTAACATTATGTTGGGAAAATACTGAATGTACTCTTCCAACATCAGAGTCCACATGATAACAAAGGTATCCCAACTGTAGCTGTGACCACGACAGGATGTTTGATTACCTCGAAGAGCATCAGGACTGTTTGAGGCATATGATAGCTATGTGATTAACAGGATGATTCAGCCTCTATGGAGAGAGACATATGACAAGCATGATCATTTCTGACGTGGAGCTAATCTGAAGTAAACATTGAATACTGCTTTCTATTCCTCCATCTTGTGACTGTGGAACTCCCTCTCTTGGATATCAGCATGTGAAGGACACTGTTCAGGAACTAGTTGTACCAAATG